GGAAAAGTTGACTGTCACTGGTGCATATTAGGTCGCCTTCCATTTACTTGCACTTGCACTTCTATCCTGCCCAATTCCCCCTCCACCAACAGTATACGTTGATTTCTGAATCCTTGATCTCTTCAAGTGTTTCTACCAAATGTTAGAACACTTTTGTTGGTTTCTCCGATTCCATTTTTTTAAAAATATTTTTTTTTAGAGCAGTTCTAGGTTCACAGCATCTAATTCCATTTTGAGCCTGATTTTCCCAGTTTTCTCTGAATTTGAACCAAATCATCCTAATATGACTTTTAAAATAAATGATGCTAATAGGCAAAAATAGATCTTGCACTTGAAGCTAAAATTTGTTTCATGTCTCTTTACTAGACTGAAAGCTTCACAAGAGCAGGTTCCAGTCTGTTTTAGTCACTCCTGTATCCCCAGTGCTCACCAGTACCTGGCACACAGGCACTTAATGTTTGAATGAATAATGAACTCTTATCCAAAGATTCAAACTGCATAGCCTTCAAGAGAGTAAACGTTCCCTGTAATATAAGATTTTCTTGAACTTTTGCTCTGCCTTCACCGCAATACTGACAGTGCAACAAAGAACATAATAAACGCTTAGAAACCATTTTTTGGGGTATACCTGATACAAAAAAGCCATGTCATAATCCTTCTACCTGGGGAAATCTAATGATGTGGTGCAGGATAATTCTCAACCAACAATAAAGGTGAGGCTTAGGACCACTCCATGCATGCCTATCTCCAGGAGAGCCGTTTTCAGGCTTCCCTGCTGCCCCCCTCCTTCCACTTTTATTCCCCACCCAAATTTGATGCCTCTGCTATTTGGAGAAACTAAGGCACAAGAGAAAATCAAGCATATCAAAGGTTCCTCCCCTAAGTTCTTTGATTTACTCAATGAACTCCTAGTAACATCTACTGAGGGACCACAAAGGTAGAGAATTTGAGCCATGATTTTTACATTTCCGGTTCTCAAGGACATGCTTTGAATTTACTTTGTTGTTAACAGGAATTGGCATTTTTAAATCTTTCAAAAAGAAAGCTATTTTTATTTTACAGAACTACGTTAACATTCATCTTCTCGGAAGGGAACTCTTGAGAACTCTGTCTCTTTCTAGTTCAGCCATGGACTACACTAAGTCACCAAATTCAAAGGAGATATTTGGCTTTTTGGTATCTGTGCTAGAGAATGCATAATCCAGTTAGCTTCTCTTATGATATGTTACCACTGATAACTAGTTTGAAATATGCAGCAGTTCAATTATCCTGCTTATACTCTCTGCAGGTGGCAAAGAGACAGGAAAAGGACATCAGAATGTACTGCAACTCTTCTGGCCAGTTACTTGCAAGGCTGTTTTTTATATACATAAAAACCATCATAACTGAAGACTACATCTGTAGATATAAAAACTGTTTGCTTTTTAATCTATGTAGAATTAACTGTAGGATATCTGTCTATCACACATGTATATATACACATGAACTGATGGTTAAACCAACTAAATTTTTATGGCTTTTACTAGGGATAGTAAGCTGTGCTAAGGGAAAAACAGGCAGATTCCACCTTAGCTGGTTATTACACAATCAGTGACATAAAGTCTCATATATCTTTCCATGTAACTCTCTTACTGGAGAAATGCTCTGGGAAAAAATACAAGGTGTGTGTCTCCCTTCAGTATATATGGAGACAAGGAGCTCTGGAAAGTTCTGTAGGCTGCAAAGCAGAACAGTTTTCATACACACTCACCATCTATGTAGTTAGTTCCCTTTGCAACTGGTAATCTTTATATGTTAATGGCTAAAGCCCAAACTGTGGGATGAAGGGTACTGGCTGATGTCTGGATGCCTAAAGAGGTACGAGTGGAAATAATTCTTACCAGCTGCAACAGCAAAATCTATAGCCTAGGTATAGCTGTCTGGTTACCAAGCACATTCTTATACACAGGAACCAACTAAAGGGAAACTGCAGAAGTCATATAGGTAAATTTTCTCCTCTCTTTGGTGAATAAACAGATACCACCCTTGGAGGTACGTGCTGACCACAAGGCTGTCCATTACCGGTTATGGCAAAGGAGCTACCCAGTAAAGCAGCCCATTACTGGTTATGGCTGGCCACTATCAGTTCTGTTGGCAACCAGAGGAGTTCACAATGATTTTATCCTATTCTTGGAGAAGTTAATCTCTAATTTCTGCACTTTGAATAAAGATTGAAAATGAAGGTTCACTAGTGTCATGTTCCTGAATTCCTTTTGTGTTTTACAACTGCTAAATTAAAAAATGATTTAAAATCTTGACAATGTCAACAACTTTACTTTCATACAAACGATGGACAGGAAGATTTAAAAAGTCAAAAGCAGGGCTTCCCTGGTGGCGCAGTGGTTGAGAGTCCGCCTGCCGATGCAGGGGACACGGGTTCGTGCCCCAGTCCGGGAAGATCCCACATGCTGCGGAGTGGCTGGGCCCGTGAGCCATGGCCGCTGAGCCTGCGCGTCCGGAGCCAGTGCTCCACAACGGGAGAGGCCACAGCAGTGAGAGGCCCGCATACCGCAAAAAAAAAAAAAAAAATCAAAAGCAATTATAAGTTGAAAGATAAACGAAGAAAAAGGACAAGCATATTTGGCAAGTGGGTTAAGCTCAAAGTATTCCTAATAAGAATACATGTACAACGATAGGCCTATCCAATTTTCTCCTAGAAATAAATATACATACAATAAAAGCTATCATAATGAAACCTTTTCCAGATTAATATTCTATATCCCACCTGGGACTGACTCCCAAATCTCCACACTGTGAAAATTCAGTGGCCAAGCCTCTGAACAGTAGTCAGAGGAACTGCTAGTACAAAAAACCTCTGAGGCCCATCTTCATACAGAAGGCCTTTTTGGAGGAGTCTACTGTCATAGACTCACCCCACTTTGTAACCCTATACTCACCCCACTTTGTGACCCTAAAGATTCATAAGCTTAGAATAAATTCCCAAGCATACCCATAACGCAAATCAGGGGCCCATTGCATTGCTACTAAATTTTGCTTCAATCATAGCACCACTACTTAATTACAGTCACAGCTCTAAGAGTCGGTTGACAGAAATCCTATAAGCAGGTTCCTAGTGCATCTTACATCTTTGGTGTAGGGCAGGCAAAAGGATCTACAGCACATGATTGTCTAAAAGAACACTTTAAAGACAATCTGGCTAACCTGTTCTGAGTGCCCTTCTGAACACAGTAAACTACAACTCTTTCTGTCAACCATCCCCTAACTTCAGAGGGTCATGAGGAATCTATGCAACTTTCCATCATATCACTCAGGCTCCTAACACACATACAAACCTCACAGCTAAAAGAAAGAACATGGAATAGGGTAAAAGAAATGTCTAAGTGCCCCCAAATCAAAAATTTTAAAACTCCTGAGATATGAGCCTCCATTTTGATTGTGCTCAATGACGTGAATTTTGACAGAAAGAATAAGCTTTTAAAGAGAGTAAGACTTTAGACAAAAATCACTTAAAGTTAAAAGTTCACAAATCACCCTTTTGAAGCTTCTGTTTCAAACACATTGCAAATTATAACCTGGAATAGGGAATTATCATTCTCAAAATTCTCTTCAGTAAAACCAAGATTTCAGATTCCTGCTAGGTACTTAAGAGGGTTTATTTTCCACGAAAAAAAGTATCTAAAATCTACCCAGTAGAATTATTGCACAGTGGGGCCCACAGGACAGTGATTTCCAAGGGCTAGTCCTCATATTAAAAAAGGCCACAATAAATACATCTATATACTATGCCCCACTCTAACTTGACATGTGTAAACACAAATATGACAAAATCTTGCTTAAAAAAAGAAACTCCTGAGGAAAGAAAAGGATGGAAAACTCTACCAAGGCCACTTGAGTCAGAAACTCCAATTACTATTTCCACTGCCATGAAAGACACTCACCAAATACACTGACCATTCCAAGCACCAAGATAAACCAGTGACAAAGTTATTTATCACACTTGAATATTTCACTCAGGTCACAGCTCAAACTGAGCTTTAGAAGAACTTCCTAGAAGAAGATGAGTTTGGAAAGGAAGTAAACTGCTGGCAATCAACCCACTAGCTGAACATAAGTTCATCATTAGTCATTAAGGGTTGAGCTGTGATCAGTGAGATGCTACCAAACCCAGTCACTAGTTAATTCCAGTGTTCAGGCCATTATTTTTCACTCACAGTTCTTGAAACATCACCACGACATCTGCAAATGGAATTACAGTTTTTTCTTTCTTTTTTTTAAATCTGGGTAGCACCATGGTTCGCGCTAATGTTAATTCCGTCACAGTATCCCACCCAAGGTATCTGGCAATCCATGCAGCAGCCTGTGATGTACAAAGCAGCCCAAGTTTTAAACCCTCCCAATTCATCCCATTAAAATGTCAAATCCTAACCACACGAATAAAAACATACCACTCTAGAGGATATTCTTCAATTTCCTGTGACAACTGATGAATCATAATACATAAAGCACTAAGTATGACTCCAAACACCAAACCATGTAATCAAGTTTGTAAACCAAAAATTGAGTCAACAAGCCACACCTTGCCTACAGCACAGACACAGCCAAATTATGAAGTTGATCTGTTTTTAGCTGCATGGGTGGTGGGATTTCTCACGGCTTCTGCTTTTTAAAGCATTCACTCTCGTTCTAAAATGGTATGCTATACACAAAACCACCAATTTTATTCCAGAATACATCATCTTAATGTTAATAAAAAGCTTCTGAATGCACATACTGCCAATACATTTAAAAAGGCCCAAATTTCAACAAATAGAATAGACAAATTCATCAGACAAGAGATCATAAATTACTTTGGCCAAAACAAATCTTTAAAAAAAATCTGGCTCAACATTCTGCTTGCAGGTTTCTACATATACTGTATATGTGGTGAGTGTGTATGTGTATGTGTAGATACATAGCTTTTTGTAAGGGAATGGAGTATGGTCTAGCCCACTTTTCCATGGTTATGTAGGAACTACAACGTTCTTTGCTAGCAAAACAAGAAGTGCAAGGTCTGCATTTCCACCAACTTGATGCAAAGCCCCAAGAGCTTCCTGCAAAGTAAAGCCGGCACGGAGAATCCGGTCAATGTCCGCAGCAGGAAAAAGTAATGGTGCAAGAAAGGAGGGACTTGATGACGGCTGGCTGGTAGGTGGTAAAAATTCTAGAAGTGGCCCTGCAGCTTCAGAACAGATATTTTCTCTAGTCTCAGGCCTGTCTGTCACTGGATTCTGTGTGCCCTGACCCAAATCTTTAACCAATATGAAACTGGATGACAAGGACTCAGTTTGCTCAGAAGTCTGATTGAGTGCATCCTCCTCACCTGCTAAAAGTCTGGGTGAAATTTCTGCACCAAAGGTGCAATGTAGTTGATTGGACGTTTCAGCTGAGGCTATAGTGACAGAACTGCTCTCATTTACTGACTCCTTAGACTTGCGGACACCTTCCCTATCAGTTAATACGCCATCACCTGGACCCCTGAAGTTAATATTTTCTTCATCTTCTACTCCAGCGTCAGTTGAAGTGTATGTTAATTCTTCTGTCTTCACTGTTACAGATGTGGCCTGATGAAGGGCCTGTGAACAGTGTTCACTCTGGGTAGCTGTAAGATGCTCATTTTGGGTCCATCTCTCAGAAAGGTCCTTAATACCTGTTTGGCCCTCAGTTACTGTCTCTGATTGACAGATAACTTCTTCCGATGTGTTTTCTGAAGCTGGTTTACTACTAATGACCAAAAGTTCATGAAGTTCCTTTAAGGCTGCCGTGACAGATGAGCAAGATTCCTCTGTGGACTCTATGGATGGCTGACAACTGCCACAGAGACTTACTAAAGAGGAGGGGCAACTCCCGTATTCTTTACTTGTTCCAGACATTTCAACATTACTTTCTGGAAGCTGTAAATCCTGAGTGGAAATGGAACTACTCAAAATTTCAGAGGAAGGGTTACATTTTGATGTTTCTACTTCCATCAAGGGATTATCTAAGGTGAGATCAGATGCACCGATGTTCTTGACGCTGGTATTCTGACCACCTGCTGAATTAAGCACAGCAACTAGGGACTGTTCAACTATATCTACTTCCATAAGTGTTTCTGAACTTGAGCAGCCAAGGCATCCTGAAGGTAGAATAGTTTTCTCTGTACCCGAAAGGTCCACAGTCTGCTCTAGCCTGTCTCCTTTCATTGTAGCTTCCGAACCAATACTTCTTTGTTGATCCTGTTGCCTTTCTCCAAGCAGTTCAAGGTCCCCTGTGTTACAAAGATGTGCTCGCTCATGTGGAGCATTCTGCTGTGTAACCTCATGCTGTCCACTCCTTGGTTCTTCATGCTGCTGAAGGCCACTCGCTTGACTCAGGTCCTGATGTTCTGGATGCCAACCCTTTTCATCTCTAAGCCTCTGTGGTTCTTCCATCCTAGTGACAGATAAACGAACTTCCTGTCTGGTGTGGAGATGAGCTGTGAGGCCCTGGGTGCTTCTTTCAGCAGATTTCCCTAGATTAGCTCCAACAATGGCTTCTTCGAGTGCATCCTGCAAAGGCGTAGCTGGCCCCTGGTCTGCTGAGGAAGCACAATCAGAAGGGTCCTGTAGAGGAAGATGTTCTTTCTTTTCACAGGTTATTACCTGGGATTCAGTTGAAGCCTTCAAAGCCTTCAGAGCTTTAGGTTCAATGCTGTCTGGGTCGCTGGGCTCAACAGGGCAGCCTGAAGCAGAGACAGAGTGAGCAAGACGTGAAGGATTACCAGTCTCAGGACTCTGTCCTGAAGGATGGGCTTGATGGTTAAATCCATCTGAAGGTGGTAATGATGACATTCCCAGTGAGGTAGTTTCTTTACCGCTTTTCTCTACACAGAACAACAGTCAAAGGAAAAAAGATTAATTAGCAGGTTACAAAGTCCACTAAATTATCAGAGAACACAAATCTAAACAGGACAGAACAAAATCAGGTCCTTAAACGGGGGTTTGTCTTATATTTATAGACTTTATACAAGAACCATTCTCATCGTGGCGGACAATTTAACATCATAGCATCAGGATAAGAGGCAGGCATGTTCTTAACAAAATATGTGTACTGTAATTCAGTATTTTTATTTGAGTACCACATAAGGGCTGAGTTAGTGCTCAAGACGCAAGGACATTTATGTATCTTTATTCTCAGTGGGTTCAGAACTCTAGAATAGTTTCTCCAAGTATGTTCTCTCTATCACTTGCCCTAAAATCACCTGGGATGTTTCCTAAGCATGCAGATTCTGGATACCATCCTTGGGATAAACCCAGGAACTTGTATTTTCAGTAAGTTCCTCAGGTGATTCTTAAAAGCACAATAGAATCTTGAGGATTTCAGTACTAGAATGATTCTCGTGCCAATTCTCTTTCAGAGTGAGTGTCAAACGTGAACACTGAGAAGTCTAAACCAGGTATATCTGAGACAGAGCAGGAATTATAAAGAGAAATAAGAATGTGATACTACTTGGGGACCTTCAGAAGACAGAGAAGCAAACATTCTATTTATTTCTATCCAAACATTCCAAAAACTATGTGAGCTTGACTCAGAACAAAAAAAAAGCGCTAAAGATCAAACAGATTAAATCCCAATTATTATCTTACCAAATAATGCAACTTTAAAAAGAATTATCAGTTACTTTATCACATTAACAACTAAGTGAGAATATTTAAGTACTTTAAGGGCAGGGAAATGTGGGCACGGGAGGGCAGTGGAGGGATATAGTTCATAAATTTTCCAATAAGCAATAACAATTTAGATCTACTGCAACTTACTGACCACTCATAAAAAATGGAAGGATTAAATACCACACCTCAATGTAAACATCATGATGTCATTAAACATCAGTTCCAACTCTCCTTCTGCCACTAATCCAATTAAAAATTGACCTCTATGCAATTATTACAAGATCTTTAATTAAAAGTCAAAGGCTGGTAACAAAAATGACATCACAATACAAACTATTAGGACAGATGCGACTCAAATGCTTCATGCTGACTGTACCTTAGGAAGTCATGAAGCAATGCAGTTATGTTTCAAAAGGCTCTAAATCATTCTAATCCAACACAGGTTAACAGCTTGAAAAGATAAAGCACTATGTCAGGAAGTTACTGACTTCTTGTGAAATAATCTTATAGTTTAGGGATAAACAGGAAAACAGCATATATCTCAGTGCAAACTATATTCATTAGAGTCTAGAAACACAGTTATAAGTTTTATTTATCAATCTCTAAGGCTGACTCTGAAAGAGGTTCAATTTTGAGTTAATGAGAACACAAATATGCACCGTAGTCAAATATCCATGTCATTAGCAGCACAGAGGTGGGCAAAGGTAATGGCCTTCTGGCAACGGTATGTCAGTTATAACAGCTGGGGGAGGTGAAGGTGAACATGACCTCAAAGTACTCCGTACTCACTATGAAAGCAGCATATAGTCCTCCTGTAGCTGAGATGGTCAGTTTCACTGGCCTAAGTCCTAAATGTAGGGGAGGACTGGGTCAGTACTATAGGACAGGAGAAGACGATGAGGACAACGGACATTAATAATTAAAGATGGCTGCTTTTAACCCATCCTTACAAGGAAAATGAAAGAAAGAAGCAATTAAATGCTATATATCTAATTACAACCAGCCTGCAAACCCCTATAAAGTCCTAGGTTGGTAGTCTAAAAAGACCACTTTTCCTTCTTTTAACAGACCAGTCAGTGCACTCAGGCTGACATTTATCATATCTGCACTACAGGGAGATGCAAGCAGAGAGCCTCCCGTGGAAAACTGTCAGGCTAGGGAGAGAGGGAAAAGCAAAGTTTCAGCTCTTGCTGGAAGATTAAACTTCAGTTCTGCCTATGTTATTGACTCTGTGACCCTGGCCAAGTCACCTGGCCTGTTTCCATTTCTTCTTCGACAGAATGAAAATTTCAGCCCCTCTACAATGCTGGTAGTTGTGTGCAGTAATGTGAAAAATACACTTTCAGTTTTTCAGAAGAAAGGGACTTACAAAATCCCTAATAACAGTCATCTCCACCAACAAAGTGCTGTGATGCTAATATTCTTGATTTGATATTCACAGTGGTCATTTGTTTTCACTGGGATTTCTTCCCCCTTGAACTGTTCTAATGACTGATAAAATTTTAAATAGGAAACCATGCTTAGATATGTATGTATGCCAACATACAAATACACATACAGGCTAGTTGTAACCAGATTAAACAAGGTGAAATGGTGAATGAAAGAAGCTAAATTCTAGAACTGCTGAGGATACGAAGTCTTTCAGACCACAGACGATGACTGGGTGGAAGGCTTATTAACATGGTGTCTATAAATACCTGGTCTGGGGCCCACTCCAGCTGCAGTACACACACACTACATGCATCATGGCTTCTGACGCTCTGTTTGAATTAGGAAACAGACAAGCAAACCTTGGGTTAACAATGCAAACCACACAGCATGCAGGGTTATAGTCTCCACTCCTTTGCCATCTTTAAGATCAGGAACTGGTAGAGTCAAAGTGGGGGAATGTTCCTGTAGTTTGGACATCAAAAAGACTTGCTGGTTGCTTTAATTCTCTCACAATACATAAAGCAATGTGTCAACTTCAACAGATTTTCAACAGAACTTGGAAAGAAATTAATTTTACACACCTACACAGAGAATTCATGGGCAAACATGTGAAATAGGTGAAAAAAAAGATCCATAGACAGAATTACATGATATGGAAATCTTATGGAGTAAAGGTGAGCAAACACATAAAATTATAGAAACTTTCAAAGTTTCTTTTTCAGTTGAGATTTATTTTTAGAAGAAAAACAAACCAAACCTGATTACTTATCCTGGCTTACCTTCTTTATTTTTTAAAATACTCTGAATTATTACTTTTTTGAATTATTTTTTAATCAATAGAAAAGATAAAGATATTTTGCTATAGAGTATCCACCAAAGAGACAGTTTTTAGCAAAAATACGTTCACCTACTATGTCTAGGGGTAGGTGATTTTGATCATAGTGGGAAGCTGATGTTCCAAACAAATAGAATCTGATGTTGAAGAATTATCTATTTAAACATTACAAAAATTAGCGCAAAAGACATACACTGTCAGTAACAAAAGGTCACATGGGTAAAGAGCCACTTCCTTTTAATCCTTTAAAACTGGTACACCTCCTTCACTATGGCTGAAAACATCTGTGGTTTCTATTTTAATCTCTTCAACTTTTTATTAAAAGAAAGTAATTACTCAAAGAGGGTAACTGTCAGTAGGTTATAAAGCACTGCTGCCGTCAGCTAGCGTTTCTCAAGTAAAAGCACCAAAACTGTGGGGGGAACAACAGAGGTTTTCACAAAATGATAACATACCCTCATTTTATTAATGTATAGTATTATGAGTGAGCTGGCAAGTTACTAAACAAAACAAAACAAAAAAGTAAAACCTTCTAAGTAGACATGTCAAACTCATTCAAGCTTGCCTTGCGGGTAAGGTTAAAACTATTAATTTAGTCTTTCTCTGTCTGGATGTTCAAAATTCTCCCCTTCCTACCAAATACTTAAATCACAACCCAAACTGTATTTCATATGTAAAACTGAGCCAAAAGGTGGTGGTGGCGCAGATTCTGAACAAAGCCAGCTTGGAAACTCCATCTGCTACTCACGCTCATTCTAAAGAGTCTCAAGGCTAGACCACCGGATGTTCTCTGGTGATACACACTGGCAAAATCTGGCTGCTTATTGTTAAAGCTCTTATCTTTTTTGTCCTTAGGAGAAAGCTATTCCCTGAACTTGTAGCTCTAATACATTTTACTATAACAGCAAATGCAACGTGTGATATTAGTCACTAATGAAGAATTACAGCTCAAGACTTTAAAATAACTCAAACTTAAAAGTTTCTCTTTAGCTTCTAGAATATATATTCCAGAGTCACTGTTCTGTAACAGATGGGGAAAATTTATCCACAGAAGTGGGATTTCGGCATAACTGTGTCCCTCCATTTTACCCAGAAAACTTGGTTTGATCTTTAGAATTAAAGAAGCTACAACAACTGAGACTTAGGAAAAAAAGTATTAGGTAGCTTCATTTCGGCGGCAGCACTTTCAGTAGATATTAAAAAGCTTAGTGCTGCTTAGTCACAGACACAATATCATCCTCCAAAATAAATGGGCCTAAGAAAAGAACAAGAAAATTTCCAGGAAATGTTGGACTCCAAAGGAAGTTTCTGCTTACTGTTATAATTTTCTTCAAGAAAAAAAGAAGACAAGATTCTTTAGGAGTCCCACCAAAATGTGCCTAAGCAAAGAACTCCCCACTCTATCTTGCACACAGCAATGGATTGTTATTTCTGGATCTACTGAAACATGGGAGGTTTTCTGTACTGTATTTAGAGATGGGAAGAGGCAGTGAAAAGACAAGGAACATACCTACAACAGGACGATGAGACTGATTATGACTGGAAAGGTCCCTACTCCCCTCTGAAGCTCCAACTTCCCTGGCTCACCCACCAATAACGAGTATTATTTAAGAGGCTGGCCACTCCAAATACCTGCATCCTCTACAGATTTTTGAAGGGCTTCTGCTAATTCTTGGTCTGCAATCTCCTCTGGCCGTACTTCCTCTCGCCCGGCCCCATATGCCAACCGGGCACACTCTGGTAACTCCCCCTCAGGAAGGAAGGTGGTCTTTGAGCCTGTGGTGCCGATCACGAGTACATTTTTCTTGAGGTCAATGGAACACTTAGAAAAAGAAACCAAACACTGACGATAGCAGATAGAACACGATGCAGGAAAATTACGATCTTGAATTTAAAACTCCATTCACAAAGAGCAACACTGACAGAGATGGTTCAAAAAAACAATTTTATCTAAAGTATTTAAACTTTAAGCTATGTGACATTGTTAGTTTAGAATCTATATCTATATCTATATTTAAAATATCTATTTAATTTATTTGTTTTTGGCTGCATTGGGTCTTCGTTGCTGCGCACTGACTTTCTCCAGTTGCGGTGAGCGGGGGCTACTCTTCGCTGTGGTGCGTGGGCTTCTCATTGCAGTGGCTTCTCTTGTTGCGGAGCACGGGCTCCAGTAGTTGTTGCATGTGGACTCAGTAGTTGTGGCGCGAGGGCTCTAGAGCGCAGGCTCAGTAGCTGTGGTGCACAGGCTTAGTTACTGCATGGCATGTGGGATCTTCCCAGACCAGGGCTCAAACCCGTGTCCCTAGAATTGGCAGGCAGATTCTTAACCACTGCGCCACCAGGGAAGCCCCAGAATCATTTTTAATATTTAAATTGTACAGCAGAATGATCTTTATGGGATACAGTTTACACTTCTTTGTCAAACACAGCAATTGTTCATGTCTGAATTCAAATGTGATACATATTCAATGTACAAAATTTGGAAAACTGCACGCCATAATCAGCAGCCACACCTTTTAGAAACATATCAGTGACTTTTTAAAAACTAAAACTGAGACATACCATTTATATAGGTCTACATTTTTGCTTTTTGCTTAGTGTATAAAGTACAGCTTATATTTAAAGTCTATGCCAATGGTCTCAAAAGTGATATATGGACAAGACGAGCTCTACGAAAGTATTCTGTATTTCATACTTATGCTATCCTCTTTTTCAGTGTATATATATATATATATATATATATATATATATATATATATATATATATATATATATATTTTTTTTTTTTTTTTTGCAGCATGTGGGATCTTCCCGGACCAGGGCACGAACCTGTGTCCCCTGCATCGGCAGGCAGACTCTCAACCACTGCTCCATCAGGGAAGCCCATCAGTATATTTTTATAATTACTTAATATAGGACAGTTACACACATATATTTTGAATCCGTAAAGCTGGAGACTGCTAGTCTATACCATGACTTAAAAGTAGCAATAAATAAATAAATAAATAGGGGAAAGATTAGCAACAAGTTAATAAATCAGGTTTTATTTATATGTGCATTCGCTCATTCCTTCTACTTAAAGCTATGCACCTTGATTTGAATATCAATGCAATATATTTCAATGGGAATTTAACACTAAACATTTAAAAAAGAGTATTAGTGTGCTTGCTTAGGCAGCACATATACTAAAACCGGAACGATGCAGAGATTAGCATGGTCCCTGCGCAAGGATGAAACGCAAATTTGTGAAGTGTTCCATATTTTTATATTACTCAGCCATAAAAAAGAACAAAATACTGCCATTTTCAGTGATGTGGATGGACCTAGGGATTGTCAAACTGAGTGAAGTAAGTCAGACAGAGAAAAACAAATATATGATATTGCATATATGTGGAATCTAAAAAAAAATGGTACAAATGAATTTAGAAAACAAACTCATGGTTTCCAAGGGGAAAAGGGTGGGAGGGATAAATTGGGAGATTGGGATTGACATATACACACTACTTACTATATATATATCGATAAGATAGATAACTAATAAGAACCTACTGTATAGCACAGGAAATTCTATTCAATACTCTGTAATGACCTATATATATCGATAAGATAGATAACTAATAAGAACCTACTGTATAGCACAGGGATTTCTATTCAATTCTCTGTAATGACCTATATGGGAAGAGAATCTAAAAAAGAGTAGACAGCTGAAACTAACACAACATTGTAAATCAACTATACTCCAATTTAAAAAAGAAAAAAAAGAGTATTAGTGACATAAAAATGTTGACTAGATATGAAACCTTGTTGGGAAAATTTTTACTACCCAAGAGCACAATAATTGCTTCTTCAATGAGTGAAGTTTATCTTTAAACAAATTATTAGGCTTCGGAATGGAAATATAAAAATCACTGCAAATGAAAATATTTATAAATCATTCTCCCTGTACTAAATAAACATTTCCATTCCCAACATCTTATGTACACCTTTTTCCTTAATCTCGAAGCTCTTCTCCCCAAGTATTGTCTGACCAGCTACTAAGGATTTACTAAACTTAGGCTTGCAGTAAAATCACCATTGTGTATTATGTACATCTCCCTACAAACCCATCAAAAAATTACTTGAGGCACTTCCCTGGTGGTCCAGTGGTTAAGACTCTGCACTCCCAATGCAGGGGGCCTGAGTTCAAGCCCTGATCTGGGAACCAGATCCCGCATGCCGCAACTAAGAGCCCACATGCCACAATCAAAAGATCCCGCACTTGGCAGCGAAGATCCCGCATGCCACATCTAAGACCCAGAGCAGCCAAATAAATAAATATTTTTAAAAAATTGTTTTAAAAAAATTACTTGAGTTCTAATCTGAAACTAAAAATTACACAAGGGAACCAAATTGTCCATTATAGTCTCAAAACAGATGGCAAGATTCAACAGATTCAGAGAGATTTCACAAAAAGGTTCTATTTCTACTGATACAGAATTTCAAACCTTGTATGACAACATCACCAATTAAGGACCTTTCCAGGTTTGAAGTCATGCTTCTTATTAATCTTCCAGTGTATACAACCATGATGGAATAACCATTTAACACACAAAAAGCCAACGCAAAAAGAAAGTGAAGCTCTTAATTACCTGATGCCGTTTCAGCATGTCCAGTCCCAAAAGCATGTCCATGGGCTGTTCCTCAAGTATAGAGAAGGAACACGCCAGGAAATCTCCTTCAATTTGAACCTGAGCTAAAGCACATGAAGAAACGAAGAGGTTACTGATTTTTCCAGGGAAGGTCTGGAAATGTATCTATCATTCTGTGTCTTTCTTCCTGCAATCAGTCAAAGTCAAGCCAAAGCATGCAAACAAGTGAGTTATGGATGAAAATCCAGTAAGACCAATAATCAGGTTAAAAGCCAATGAAGGCACCAGCTCATAAAGAGGATTGGGTAGAACTACTGCCCACAAGACCTGGCTTGATATATGATACACGCTCAGCTGGTGAGGAAAGCTGGCATTAAGAATTAAAAAAAAAAAAAAAGACAAAGACCAGTTCCTCCAATATTAACCACCTGCTTCCTGTACACTTACAAAAGGCTTTCTAAAAGGAAAATAAAATCAGTACACTTTAAACCTTTTAAATTAAGCTCCAAGAAGTAAACTGTTTATTACTGCCTGTTATAACCAAGTTTCTTTGCCTGAAGTCTCCTGCCTTGCCTCTTTCCTCAATTACTCCTCTTATTTCATATGTAAGATGTTTTTTTTAAAAAAATGACTTTGCCATTAACTATGTCTTACGAGCAGAAAAGTACATGAAATATATATATATATATATATATATACTGTATATATATATATAGTGTAAAGCATAATAAAACAAATACCCATGCATCTACTTCCCAGGTTAAGAAACAGAAAACTAAGAAGTTTCCTGTATGTCCTACTGATCATAGCTTATTCTTTGCCTCCTCCAACCTTCCCAACTATCTTGGTTTTTACGTTAATAATTCCCATCTTTTCTTACCATTTTTCTATGATTTCTAAGCAACATTTTGGTTAGTTTTGTGGTTTTGAACTATGACTTGCTTCCTTTACCCAAAAGATACTTTGAGATATTTTATTCCTGTGGGTGCACGTGACTATATTTCTTTCGTTTATACCACCCCTAAGATTAAGTACTGTAATGTCTAAGACACCACCACTGATTTATTTATCCATTCTGCTGCTATGGGACATTTGGGTTGCTTCCAGTTTCTGCCATTATAAGCAATGCTAACGTGAGCATTTTTGCACTTGTCTCCTGGTGTGCCGTGAGTTTCTCTAAGGTATACTCTAAAAACATACAGGGTTCTAGGGGATATTAGCTCAGCTCTACTTGATGCTGAATTATTTTCCAAAATGTTTCCAGGGGTTTTTGGAACGTTCCCATTGTTCCACATTCTCCCAACACTCAATATTATTAGATTTAAAATCTGGCAAGTAATTCTCTATTTCCCCGATTAATGAGATAAAGCAATTTTTCACACTTATTAACCATTTGAGTTTCCTCTTAAAGTGCTTGTTCAAATGTTTCTGTAATTTTCTTTTCTTTTCTTTTTTTTTTTTTAATGGTACACGAGCCTCTCACTGCTGTGGCCTCTCCCGTTGAGGAGCACAGGCTCCAGACGCACAGGCTCAGTGGCCATGGCTCACGGGCCCAGCCGCTCTGCGGCATGTGGGATCCTCCCGGACCGGGGCACGAACCCATGTCCCCTGCATCGGCAGGCGGACTCTCAACCACTGCGCCACCAGGGAAGCCCCTGTAATTTTTTATATACCAGTTTTTCTTACTGAGTTGGAGGATACACAAACATACAGAAAACATATATATTCTAAATATGAATCCTTTATTAGTTATACATGTTACTAAGTTCTTTCCTAGTTTGTGTTTGTTCACTTTCTTTAAGATGTACTTGATGAAAAGTTCTTAATCTTAATCGGCTGTATTTATCAAATAATTTCCTTCGTATCTTTTAAAGAACCCCTTCCCTACACAAGACATTCTCCTATATTTTCTTTTAAAGGCCTGATTTTGCCTTGCACATCCAGGCCTTTAATCAACTTTGAATTGACTTTTGTGTGTGATGTGAGACAGGGTCCCATTTCCAATTCATTTTTTCCACATGGATACCCAATCGTCCTAGCACATTTCCTAAAACTTTCCCACTGCTCCATAAGACTTCCCCTCTCATTTATCAAGGTTCACGTTAAGCATGGGTCTGTTTCTGTTCTAGTCCTTTGGTCTTGATATTATCTAGAAGGGGAAGTTATTCCAGATATCTTGACTACTCTTGCCATAAAGGGCCTACATAAAATTTAAAATTGACACATCAAGTCTCACAAACAAAACAAAACAATTTATTGGGGTTTTAAATGTATTACAACGACTCTGTTGACGAACATGGGAGAACTACCACCTCCAACATATTGAAACTTCCTATTCATGGTGTAGCTCTCCTTTACTTAGATTACCCTTACTGTTATAAGGTTTTCTTGATACCTATCATAGCCAAAGTTGCAAAATGGCACAACTTGTGCAACCAAAAGAAGGACACAAGCGACTGGTACTTTTTGTCTCCTATTATCTTCTCACTAAAAACCATGAGGGCTTCCCTGGTGGCGCAGTGGTTGAGAGTCCGCCTGCCGATGCGGGGGACGCGGGTTCGTGTCCCGGTCCGGGAGGATCCCACATGCCGCGGAGCGGCTGGGCCCGTGAGCCGTGGCCGCTGAGCCTGCGCGTCCGGGGCCTGTGATCCGCAGCGGGAGAGGCCACAGCGGTGAGAGGCCCGCGTACCGCAAAACAAACAAACAAACAAAAAAACCTGTTGTGCACAATGATGCATAATTAGCTGTGGTTTGTGGTTCTTACCCAATTTCAGTCCTATTGTGTGTAAGAGAGTACATAAGAGGTAAGGTATTTAAACTATCCTTATTCTATAGAAATCAATAACAGAAAACACGGAGACTTCTAACAATAGACAAATGTATTAAACCAGGAAAAATGAAACATATGAAGAGGAAAACAGGTAGAAAACCTACCACTTGCAATGAAAGAAAAGTAATTTACAGTAAAAAACCACTTTTTAATCTGCAAATTAAAGGGATAAAACTAAAAATACTTGATTGTATAAGGAAATTAAGGTGAATGTTCAATCAGTGCTGGAGAAACTAGATTGGTACCAGTTAACAATATCAAGAGCCTTAAAGGGTATTCATAATCTTGGATTTAGTAGGTTCACTTATGGGAATTTTAACTAAGGAAAAAAAAATCAGTTTGCACAAAAATGCACTTCCATGTCACAATGACAAAATATTGGGGGAAAAATATATCCCAAAGGTTGACCATTAAACCCATACAACAGAATGCTATGCATTTATTTAAGTGATGCTTATGAAATTTATAATGGCATTTGGAAAATGCTCTTACTTTTTCTTAAAGCAAAGTACAAAATTCTATATAGTATTATATGATCACATTTTACAAGAAAACAGTGCCGGAAAGAGATATGTCCAAATGCTACTACTGATTGATTCTCACCTAAAAGAATTATTTTTGCTTCTTTTCACATTTCTATGCTTTCAAAATTCTCTACAATGAGCAACTAATTAAATGGATAATGAAAGAAAAAAACAAAGAGAAGAACAATTCTGATTAAAGACGAAGGACTGAATACATGTATTTAACTTAACTTACTCCTAAAAAAAAACCCACAATAAAAAGTTGTTTTTCTTTTAAAATGTACAGATTACTAAGGCCAAAAATAATGGAACAGATAACTGAATCACAATTTTGGAACTAGAAAGCAGATGACACTAAGGAAAACTAAGCAGCAACCCTTTTTATCCCAAGAGGCTGATGAGCTGGTTGAAACAAGTACCTCTGCAAACGGGGGTGGAGGGAGCCCAAAGCAGGAGCACGGGTGAAGGGCTATGAAGGCACAGCTGCACCTCGGGGCTCCTTCTCCTGCACTCTGCTCAGCCAGGTGACTACCGCCTCACCCCAACAGTAGACTAGAGGTTTATTTTCTCAAGAGGGTGAAACAGAGGCTCTAGGAAGAGAGGCGGGCATGAAGGAAGACAGAGATACAACAACAAGCACCAAACTGAAAACTAGAGGGGTTAAGTGGAAGCTTACTGAGACTCTAGCCTTTTTCTCCGTCCCAACTTCCAGATCACCCACAATCAGCATGGCTACCCACCCAACTAACCTTCCAAATAGCCTTCTGGTGTCCCACTCTTCAAACATGAGCAGACACCAAGGATCACCAGACACTTGAGAAAAACCATCTAACATGAAAGAAAACTGTACCAAACAGGAAAGAAAGGTTAGAAGACAAAGTTGAGGAAATCTCGTTAAAAACCCCCCAAAACACAATGAAAGAAAGAGAAAGAAAATAAACTAGAGGACAAGTCCATGGCAGTAGATTATCCTACCTGAATAACAGACATCGCAGAGGGGAGGAAATCATTATCAGAACCATTTTTCCAGACTGAAAGGTCTAGCCCAGTAGATGAAAAGAGATCTACTACACCCGCGTACATCATTGTGAAATTTTAAAACACTGAGGCAAAAAGAAGATCTATAAGCTTCAGAAAGGGAAAAGAAATCTGACACACAGAAGATCAAGAGTCAGAATAGCGGCCAGCTTCTCCAAAGCCACACTGACAAAAATCATGACGGAAAGTGATTTCCAACATACTCAGACGGGTAGAATGTTGGAAAAAAAGATGTGTTCCGATATTTACGGACTCAATTTACTCTCCTGTGCACTTCTTCTCAGAAAGTTACTGCAAGATATACTCTAATAAACCAAGGAGTGCAAAAAAAAGAAAAAAGTATGGGATCCATATCATCCAACGTAAGACGGAAGTGAAAGGCACCCTTCAGGACCCAGATTCCAAAACAGCAGCTATGAAGCAGCCTTGAACCACCAGTCCAGGCTGGAAGAAGCATCTTCAATAGGATGACATGTATAAGGGAGATTTACACACTAGGTACGTGTTTAGGGATGAGTAACAACCAAAAAACCGAATGACACACACATACAAAAGACAAAAATTTCGACAAAAAATACTAGACGTGAAAGGAAAAATAATCTTTTTCAATTAGATGGCTCAGATCTCAACAGTATTTACACAGTCCTGTCAGTAAATAGCACTATAAACGTGTAACTTAGAAATATGCAGGTAAGCACCAAAAGAAATCAGCTATAATAGTGGAAAGGGATTATCTCTAAAGAGCAGGAAACAGAAGTACATAGGGGACTGGTGTTTTTTTGTAACCAGCTAAACGATGTTACATTATAACTCTGATAGACTATAGGATTTAAAATTGCTAGGGACTGGGCGTGCTGGATCAGATGCCCCTATCCAAAAGGAATTTTTAAAGTCCACTACCCTACAAAGACTCCCAGTGCCCTGCACTCACCTAGATGTACCCTTCCAATAATCTTCTGGGTGCCCACTCCTTTGGCGATCCCTGCCCACCGACGGTCCACCAGCCTCATTATATTACACCTTTCTGCACAAGCTTGGCTCATAATGGTCATCTGGGCACCTGGAGGTGGAGGGAAACATCAGACAACAAAGACAAAATCCACATGTGTGGGAAGACAAAAAAATGCAGCACTAAGAACAGGGCAGAAAGCAAGTATACTCCCATGCTTCTGTCTGTGTACAATTATTCCGACTTAGTGGGCTTCCTGCTACACTTAGTTCAACTTTCAGTTTTACACTGCAATCTGAAACACAGTGTAGAAACTTCACGTTGAGGGAAATAACATTGTTTAAATGTAATAATTAAATGATATTTTAAAACTTTAAAAACAGAAAGCAAAACTACGTGGAAAGGATCTCCAAAGAGTCAAACTATGTCTACAGATGGAAACACTCAATTAAGCACTACTGCACCCTCAGATCAGTTTTCACTTGAGTATCTCTAAACATCTTACCAAGTTATTTTTATTTCAAACTCTGGGACACTCTAATTTACCAGTTAAAAAATACATCATGCAGTCTCTCAAAAAACTATAACTGAACTCTTCATTCTCTGCTCCAACAATTAGACCCTCTTTCCTATCAGGAAGAGGGCACTAAGGTCTTTTCTCTCCTGGTTACATACACTCACCCACAGAGCTGGAGTCAGCCTGTGCAATCTTTACCTAGGGTCCTAATCTCTCCCACAGAATCTAGTTCCACATTCCTGTGTGTTTGGACATGTCTATCTCAAAGCCAGTAGGTATAAATACTCTTTCTCCCCAAATAATTCTCACTTCGGATTTCTCTCTTTGCCAGTGGAATTCTTTTTCTTACAACCATAAAACAGAGGCAACTGTTCGTTTTCGACCCCTCTTCTTAGAGCCTTCTCCCAACTCTCAAACTCAGTTCCAATCCTGTTAATAAATTCTGGGCAATTTCTGACCCTTCTTCTTCTAACCATAGCAATCAATCTGGCTCACACTATCCCTCTAGCTAGTGGGCAACTTCTCTGGTTTCCAATCCTTTCTGTGGATATACAGTTTAAAGCAAGGAAATAGTTCTGATCTTAGCGGTACAGAATACTCCAGAACTGCCACTGCCTTCAATCTTCTTAAAATACCACCTTCTTCAGATCCGTTATTCATCTGCTCAAAGGTCCTCAAAGGTTCCTACTCTTTATAAGATCTTCAAACCCACATCACCACAGCCTCAGATCCCCCCTCACCCTGGTCCAACTACTTCCAGCTGCTACAGACTGAATGTTTGTGTCCCTCAGGTTGACACAACCTTCAGGTTTCAACCTTCAGGTTGAAACCTAATTCCCAATGTGATGATATTAGGAAGTGGGGCCTTTGGAAGGTGATTAATTAGGTCACGAGTGTGGAACCCTCATGAATGGGATTTAGTGCCTTTATAAAGGAGACCCCAGAGAGCTCCCTCTCCCCTTCCACCATGTGAGGACACAGGGAGATGTTCATCTATGAACTAGGAATCAGGTACCCAATTTGCCAGCATCTTTTTTTTTTGGGCCGCGCTGCACAGCATGTGGGATCTTAGGTCCCCCACCAGGGATCAAACCCGCACCTGCACTGGAAGTGCGGAGTCTTAACTGCTGGACCGCCAGGGAAGTCCCTCTGCCAGCATCTTGATCTTGGACTTCTCAGCCTCCAGAACCGGGAAATAAATCTGTGTTGTTTATAAGCCACCCGGTTTACGGTGTTGTTATGGCAGCCCAAACGGCCTTCGATACCAGCTTTATAGCCTGACTGCTTTAAACCTTCCACTTTACACAGAGGAAGGTGTCTCCTTTGTCTCTTACTCACTCTGGCCCTCCTGTAGAGTGCCCCTTCCTCTGCTTTCGCTTTCTCTGAGCTCTACTTATGCTTTAAGGCCCAGCTCAAGACGCACCTCCTCCCCAGCTGACTGTCCTCTCCCAGTGATCTCTCCTCTCATTCAATTCCAACACTTCCTGTTCATATTACCCGCAGATAACTTACACTTTATGGGCACTTAAACCTCTTGGCATTTGAGGAAGGTTAGAGTCAAGAAGGCCCAGAAATAATGAAGGAAAAGGGAATTTGGGAAGGCAATTCTTTTTCCCCCCCTTCCTCACTCTACTCCTCATAAACTAGTTATTGGTGTAAAGTCTGCAAACCCAGGATGAGAACGGTCCCTTTCACTGCTCTCCTGCCTTTTCTTAAGACTCAGGTCAAAGCCCCAATCCTCTACCCATGGAGACAGCTCAGTTCAAACGCCCTCTCTTTGGAGAAGCCACGCCTGAGCAACCCAGTCAGAGTGAGAATGTGGTCTTTATGTTCATCCAACACGCATCTGATTTTTGCACAGTGGTTAAGAGTTCTGGCTTCAGGTAGATCTGGGGCTGAATCCAAAGTCTACTGCTAATGAACTTTGTATACCTGGAAGAATGACTTCCCCCCTTTATATTTAAGTTTCCTCATCTGTAAAACAGGGATAACAGAACATAGCTCAGGGATAGTCTGAGGATTAAATAAAACTGAAGATGATATACTAAGCACCTAGCATAGTGCTTGGCACACAGTAAGGGCTCAATAAATGCTGAGTGTTATATCAGGGTCTCTTATGAATTTATCTCTCACTCATAGGAGCCCTATGAAGCTCCAGTCTTACCCCCAAGCACTCAGCACAAGGTCCTGCACATAGCACTCAACAGTAAATAATCAGCAGATTTACTCCTCCCAGGAATATATGCATCTCAGGACACAAACTCTTAACAGTTGAAACCTAGCATGTGCTCAGGTATTTGTGGATGAACGAGTGGAAGAAAACCTACTTGGGCAGGGGTTTTTACTTCTCTAGGAACACACTCGTTATCTCACAGCCTCAAGAGAGATACCTAGAATGAAGGCACAAGACCACTCGATTATACTCACATGGTGCTGCTCTGTGTGGTCTTACTAAACAGCAAAGTGTTGTTACTAAGAGAAAAGGTGCCAGTTAGTACAGGCATTATCTGAATGCTCAAGTGGGGAACTCTCGTCTCCTGACCTGGTTATTAAGTTCTTTAAGGGCAAGAACCATGCCCCATACACCCTTATACTCCTCACAGCTCCTGGTAGAGTGCTGGCACACAGACCAAGCTGAAATATCTGTTTGACCTCTACTCTACATACCTCCTTCTATTTTTTTTTTTTTTTTTTGGCGGTACGCGGGCCTCTCACTGCTGTGGCCTCTCCCGTTGCGGAGCACAGGCTCCGGACGCGCAGGCTCAGCGGCCATGGCTCACGGGCCCAGCCGCTACGCGGCATGTGGGATCTTCCCGGACTGGGGCACGAACCCATGTCCCCTGCATCGGCAGGCAGACTCTCAACCACTGCACCACCAGGGAAGCCCTACACACCTCCTTCTTATAGCTCCTTATGCTAAACCCATTTACTCCCGTTTCTTACAGAAGTATCCTACAAATTAGGATGCCAAATAAGGGGAGGTAGGAAGATAAAGGAAAGACACTGCAAAATACAAAACTGGTTAAGAAATAATTAAAGAAAAACCTATTACAAAGAAAAGATTGGCAAGTGAAACAATAACCCCTGGGCTTGTCCAAAGGACTACTGCCATCTTTAACGGACACCAGTCTCCCCTTCTCCCTGTGTCAGGTCAGAACGCTGGATGTAGAGACAAAGACACAAAAGATGGAGACATCACCTGAGTCAACAAAGGCTTTCACAGGATGTCCATTCACTTTGCAGTTAATATAAAGCATCACTACTTGGCCAAAGCTTTCCGGAGCCTCTTCCATAGCTATTGTCATGTTTTCCTCAATGTTCTGTTGCCTGTAACAAACCAAAACCAGGCACACTAAAAGCATTATTTCCATGAAGAGCAATCTGTTTCAAAGTCACAATATTAAAAACAGACCTGTACATATCTTTTCCTCCAACTATAGCGGCTGAGTCATGGAAATGGAAATTGGTGCTCTATCCTGAAATATGTGATTTAGTAGGAGGAAGTGAGATACATAATTGGCAGAAAATCTAAAGGCATACAAATCACCTTCATGTAAAAACAATTATGTTCCCTTTACAAGCTCGGAAACAGGAAAACAAACTTCTGGAGAGTAAGGGTCACAACCCTTTTTATCCTGTAGAATATTAGAATTTCATCAATGCTCCAATTTAAACTGAGGATTTACTGGGTATCTGGGTACATTTTCTATGTCCACTGCATTAAAAATAGTTTGCAAATGTAATACACAGATGTTTCAACTGCTTGTGTTACATCTGATGCTTAATTTCCAAAACTGTAAAAAATTAGATTAGTTTCTAATCTGTAAAACGAGAACAATAATTTCTATCACAGGATTGCTGAGAGGTATAAAGCATCTAGTATACAATGCTAAGGTAGGAGCAGATGCTCAAAAATATCTAACTACCTGGCTGTCACTTAGAAAACTATACATACACATATGTATCATAGTTCACCTGGTCCATCAAAATATTTCTTCAAAATTGAATATATTCTAATTCTTACGTGAGAAAAGCACATAAAACGGAGTTCTAGCTTACTCCAGCATCTCATGTCTTCCTCCCCAACTCTTCTAGAAACATCATCAAACACTACAAACATTAATTTAAACTATGGCTGGGGCCAGGCAACTTTGCTGAAGACTGAGACAATTACAGAACAGGGTCCAAGGTGGGATCAATTACAGCTGTAAGCCAGAGGCTGGCAAACTACAGCCCACTGTTTGTTTATGGGAACACATCCACACCGTTCACATAGCTGCTTTCACACTGCACTGGCAGAACTGAACGCTACCGACAGAGACTGCATGGCCGGCAAAGCCTAAAATATCACTACCTGGCTCCTTATGGAAAAAGTTTGCTGACCTCTATTCTAAACTGTAGCGCCGGTCCCTTCTGTAATAATACTCTAGCTCAATTGTATTGATGGCTTTATCAGCCAGTCTATAACAAAGTATTAAATTTCTCAGAAAGTCAAAGGTAAACTTGTTTAATTTAGCCCGGCAAATATGCAAGCTACTATATACCTCAGGGTACATGTACCCTGTGTAATCAGTGGTGTAGTGTATCAAATAAAACTGCTATAGGCATTCTATACAATTACACAGCTTTTCTCCTAGGTCACATTATTAAATTTAAAAATAACCTAAAATTAGTTGTGCACTCCTGACCTTACATTGATTCCAACCAAGATACATTTCCGCAAAAAATCATCTGAAATAATACCAGTTACTTTGGCTATACTGGGCTCTATGTCACTTTACAGGGACAAGGGTTTCTCCTTTAAAAGAACACATGCATTGTCCCAGTTCCCCTACCTCACCCCTGGGAAGAAACATGAGCCTATGGATGTGCCTCGTTTCACCTCTCTTCCAATAGCTCGGTGTCATGGTTTGGCTATGATGCCTCCCCACTGCCCCGCCCACCCCTCCTGCTTCCTGGCTTGAATGCAACTGTTCTTGAGAGTTATGTCAGGCTCACTTATAGCTGCAATGCGGTCTAGTTCAGAAAACACAAATATCTTCCCATTTCTCTGCATAGATTTAACTAGCAGGATGTTTCTCAAAGATAGTTATTAGTATCCAATACAATTAATGGGAACACTATACACACAAGAACACAAGTGAACGGCTTAGGGCTATCAATTGATTCTGGTGTATTTACATTTCTCTGATTTCAAATGTACTCAGAGAAATAAGAAACCCTTTATTTGACTTCCAAGTTAACAGTGTAATATAATGACCAAGTTAGGGTTCATTTAAGTAACCAAAGATGATGATCAGGCCCCTAAAAGGAATAGCCTTACAGTTATTGTTCTTAGTTATACTAAGCCCTTCACAATTAGCAATAAACTGAATCTGGGATGGGGGAAAGCAACTGTTCTTTTATTCAAAGGGACTGACTGAACAGTTTCAGCTTCTTGCTTGTGACTAGTAAGGAGACCAAGGTTGGCACTAGCATCCTTGTACTGCTTAGGCCCTGCCCCTTAAGATTCTATCTATCTATCTATCTATCTATCTATCTATCTATCTATTTATGGCTGTGTTGGGTCTTGGTTGCTGTGTGCGGGCTTTCTCTAGTTGCGGCGAGCGGGGAATACTCTTCGTTGCGGTGCGAGGGCTTCTCATCGCGGGGGCTTCCCTTGTTGTGGAGCACAGGTTCTAGGTGTGCAGGTTTCAGCAGTTGTGGCACATGGGCTTATTTGCTCTGCAGCATGTGGGATCTTTGCAGATCAGGGCTTGAACCCGTGTCCCTTGCATTGGCAGGCAGATTCTTAACCACTGTGCCACCAGGGAAGTCCCACCCCTTAAGATTCTGATTCATCAGATTTGAGAGTAAAGCCTGAGCACCTGCATTTTTAAAAGCTTCTCATATGACTTTAATGCTGCCCCAGGTGAGAACCATAGCATTAGAAAATCTGGAGCTGGAAACGAGTCCTGCAGTCAGTTTATCTGCTGAGGCCAGTACAAGAACTGTGGAAGGAACACGGACTTAGGACTATAAGGTTCCTCTTTGTACAGTTCTCTCTAATTCAGTCATGTCCAGGCCCTGGATTTAATCAGGGCTCATGCATTATGTCTAAGGAAAGAGAGTCCAAGCAGTTTGAGTAGCCAGCCTAGTAGTCTCACCAAACTGGGGGCTTCTGCTCAGTCCTGGGGTCATCTACCTGGAGTTGCCTTAATAATGTGCTGTGGGCTAGTCAGGGAGTCTTTATCAAATTTTTAGAAAGTCATTAAATTAGGCAGCTGTATTTTTGTAATGTTGAATCAAAATGCAAGGAAAATGGAAGAGGAGAGAATAAACTAGAAGACTGAAGCTACTACCTCAGATGCAAAATAAGGAAACTCCACATCAAAGCAGATGCCCCACAAATACAAGATCACCTGGAGCTTGGGAACTCTAGATTCTCTAAATCTTGCTCTTTGGGCAAAGGAGTCATTACCTTATATCTTCTTCTATCTTTGCCTGAGCTTCAAGATCAAAAGGGTCTGCAGAAAAGAGACGAATCCTTTCTTGCTCTCTCCGGGCGCGGTCCTGCTGCTGCTCCACCAGGACCCTAGAAAATTTCTCTGCAAGAACAGTGGGCAAAATCTTAAAAACCATTATATTTTCATTCTTTATTAGTATTTTTCCACACTGAACAATTTCTCAAAATACAACTGTAAGAGATGCAGAAAGGATGGCTAAAAATCATTTAAAATGAGCAATTACGTTTACTTTCTATTCTCTGCAGAAAAGATTACTTCTTCACCTAAATTTAGTGTAAAGAAATAATGTATTTGCTGGGGCTTCCCTGGTGGCGCAGTGGTTAAGAGTCTGCCTGCCAATTCAAGGGACACAGGCTCGAGCCCTGGTCCAGGAAGATCCCACATGCCGTGGAGCAGCTAAGCCCGTGCACCACAACTGTTGAGCCTGCGCTCTAGAGCCCACGAGCCACAACTACTGAGTCCACGTGCCACAACTAATGACGCCTGCACGCCTAGAGTCCGTTCTCCGCAACAAGAGAAGCCACCGCAATAAGAAGCCCGTGCACCACAAAAGCAGACCCCGCTCACCGCCAACTAGAGAAAGCCCGCGCACAGCAACAAAGGCCCAACATTGCCAAAAATAGAAACAAACAAATAAATAAATTTATATATATAAAAAAAGAAATAATGTATTTGCAGACATCATCTCAGAGATGACTTTTCAATTTAAATCAGTGTGGCAGATAAATGATGCTACCCCTCCCCTCCCCACTGCCCTTATTATCCTATTATCTAGAAATAAAATAGAGCACTACTATCCCTCTTTTCCTCTTCTACTTTTGTTTCCTTTACAACACACTCTGCCTTAAAGCAGATAAATTATAAGCAAACTACTGTTTGTCTGTATTACCCGATGGATACTAAGCAGGAAAATTAGCAAAGAGAAAACATTGCTTGCTATAAGATGGATGTATGTTACAAGAACCACCTTTATTTGCTATCTCGTAAATGTGAGTACATTCAAATGTATAAATGTAAAAGTGCCATCATCATGGTCTTTGGCAAGATACGCTGCATAAGACATTAAAGAAACCAAAATAATGGTCATATGAACTAATACACACAACATGGATGAATCTAAAAAACACTGAGTGAAAGACACCTGACACAAGGGAGGACATACTATATGATTCCATTTACATGAAGATGAAAATTAGGCAAAACTAACCTCTAAGTATCAGAATACTGGAGCCTATAAGGGGATGAAACTGACTAGAAGAGAACATAATGGAGCTTTCTGGAGTGAAAAAAATGTTCTATATTGTGATTTGGGGTGCTGGTTACATTAGTTTGTCAAAACTCAACAAACTGTATACCTAGTATCTAGGTATTTCTCTGTAGGTAAATATTACCTAAATTTTAAAAATGGTTATTGAGGAATAAGTTATTAAGTGTCTGTTATGTTTTAAAATTTAATCAGTAGGGTTTCATAAACCCAGGAGTAAAACTGGAGAAATGTACAGAGAAAACTTTATTCATAAAGATGACTAAAAACAAATGTTCTGTTAAATACAAGAATGGCTAAAATATAGCCCCAAATAAACTGTTGGTGACAACCGCACTACTGTTAAATTTAGGGTGAATGAGAATAAAGGGGTTGCACTTTGCCAAATAGGCTGATGGGCACTGGACCTGTTTTCCTGGAACTAAATCATTTTAACTGGCATCAGCTGGTTAACTGGTACTCTCTTTAACTGAGGTTCTAACTAAACAGGTTAAAATATCAGTACCTGGTCATTACAAGATATTATCTGCAGGAAAAGAAAAACCACACACACAAAATAACAAACAAAAAACCCCCTGAATCGCTATGCTGTACACCTGAAACTAACACAATATTGTAAATCAATTATACTTCAATTAAAAAAAAAATCTATACCTGGGTTATACACTGCTAAAATGATTAGGGGAAAAAAAAGGAAGGAAAGGAAAACGAAGGTGCTGGTTGAGCTGCTTCAGAACTCTACATAGTCCTAAAACTCTGTCACTATTGCCAACTAACTCAGCCTTTGACATCAGCACTAATTTACCTCTCACAGACCAACTGATATGTTCAATACAACATGTGACACAGTGGGCTGAACACACCAGTTGCTTGAGTTTCTCCACATTTGCTGTGATACAACTATTCACCTCAGGTCAGCTTGATAGCCTTCAAATTTCATAAGCTTACCAAGATCTCCACTGAGCAGAGCATCTGCCAAGGGTGGATTGCGTTCCTTCAACAAGGACAGCTCATGGGGGTTGGCCAGCAACATGTCTCGGAGCAAGGCTGGATTGTCCAGGCCCTGAGGAGATGAAGCTACCTCTCCAGGAGATGAGTGGGACTGCTGTGCTCCTGCTGGCTGGCGCTGCCGGGTGTTTGACGTGCCAGGCACAGCTATGCTACGGAAGTCTATTCGGGGTAAGTCTGTTGGGGAAAATCGATTCGAAGTTTACTTCAAATGACTCCATAAAAACAAGTATTTGAAGGAAACAGCAGATTTGCACATATGTGGTATGCAATAGTAGTAGATGGTAATCGCATACATTCCGAATGCCCTTTCCCTGGTTCTTTCTCACGCTGACCTTGAATACAAAGAAAGACTGCAGTCCGAGAGTGAATAGGTAGGAAAGGATAGAAAAACAGGGGGTTGGGGAGTAGAAGTAGGGATAGGAAGACAATGGTAATAATCCCAAATTCTTGGCTTATAAAATATCCCAGGATAATAAGTTTTTACTTACTTATGTCTTTAAAAAAGCAAAGCCAATCTCAAACATAACCACGTAAAGCTCGATGTGGTTCTTAAGAAAAATCCTAGTCTGCTTTCACATACACTCCAAAGAGCCCTGACACCTTGGGTAAAGAATACAATACATATCAAGTGAACAGCATAAATGTCAGATGTTAACTTCTACAAGTATGTGCCACACTTATTAGTTCTTTGAATTTACACTTTCATCTGTGCATCACTGCTAACTCTTCTCATACCCTGGAAAGCTAGTAGGTGTAATCATTTCATGGGAGAGAAAAAAACAAGAAAAGAAACCTGCACAGGTTCTCAGTGCTGAGTACACCAAAAGATTTAACAGGTTCACAGGCCACACTCCCAGGTTCCATAATCCAGGGTGAGCTGACCTTACTAAAGTGAAAGGAAAATAAAAGGGAACCTTACCTCAAGGACTCACATATTATATGATTCCATTTATGAAATGTCCAGAATAGGAAAATACAGAGACTGAAAGTAGACTGATGGTTGCCTAGGGCTAGGAGGCATGAGGGCAGATGGGGAATGACTGCTGATGAGTACAGAGTTTCTTGTAAAGATGATGAAAATGTGCTAAAATTGATCATAGTGATGGTTAGGCAATTCTGAATATACTAAAAGTCACTGAATTGTACCCTTTAAATGAGTGAATTGTATGGTAGTGAATGATATCTCAATAAAGCTGCTATTGAAAAAAAGAGTTGTATTTTTAAATAGGAAAAAGAAAACAAAAAACATAAAACCCTAGGTATAACCAGAATGACGGGCTAAGACTGAGTGAATCCACATTTCTTCAACCCCAAAATGTATCTGATGATTGCACCTGCTCCAAGTCTGGGGCTGTCCTGAAGCCTTTTGGACTTCAAAGAGAAAAAGAAAATGCTTAAACTCAGGAGTAAGGTTTGTGCCTCTTAATATGGGTTCAAGTAGGCACTTTTCTTCAAACAAACCTCAGCTGTGTGTGTGTGTGTGTGTGTGTGTGTGTGTGTGTGTGTGTGTGTACATGGACATGAACTTCGAACCAATGAAAAAGTGAAGTGAATAAGATGATCTTTGTGAGGTAGTTAATCTAGGTCAACCAGCAAAACATATATGGGTGGGTCTTCCTTATGGGTTGAGAAATTTTTATCTCAACCCTGTTATACTTATCTTGAGAGTCCACTCACTTCGGAATAATTTTGAAAAACGTGTTTGTTTACCTTATAGATCAGAATTGCCTCCCCTCCCCCACCTACTGGCTCTCTTGTCCCTGTGGCACAGCATAGGAAAAACAAGAAACAGTGAATCTCAGAACTAACAATTTCACCAAATTAACCACAAGAAGATTTGGGCTTTACTGATTGGCTTATTTGAACCCCTTCCCTTTCTAAAGTTTAACAGTAGCCCCAAGGGAATAATGTAATCTGGACCTGAAAGTAACAGGGCTTGATGGTCTCTTATAGCTCCAGTTTCAGGCTGAATGGAAGCACTGTGTTCTAAACTGGAGTGAGTCATCACCCAGACACCTAAACTCCTTCAAGTATCAGAAGCAAGCTATGGACCCTCTCCCCATCAAATGCACAGACGCCCACACAATTCTGCACACTATTTCAAGGACACAGAAACTTCCTAACTCCCAATGCACAGATTCTAGATGTAGCATCTAAGATAAATAACAGTTTCTTTTTACATGATCAACAAAGATGGTGGGAAAGAACCAGGATTTGGTCAGCTGCTTAAGGTTCACAAGGCTCAGTGTAACGGGAAAAGCACCAAGTTTTAAATTCTGTGCCTTCACTTACTAGCTATGAAGATATTATTTAAAAATTGTCAAGAGGTATCTCTTCCCTACAAAAGTTATGAGATGACCTGAAATGTGGGTGCAAGTGCCTGGCTGATTGTAAAATGTTCAGCAAAGGCCTATCACTGAATGCCAGACACAAAGCAGCAAAAGTCAGCCAGGAAGCATAGGCATATGCAGCATCTCAAGTCCTTCTCAAGGATAAAATGATCACTGATAACAACAGAAGCTAATATTTACTGACGGCTTGCTATGTGCTGAAGGTTTTACATGCATTATTCTCCCACCAACCCTAGGAGTTGTGGTTAATTATAACACACATCTTACAGATGAGGAAATGGACTTAGAGTGTTAGCTTGTCCGAAGTTACCCAGCAAGCAAGTGGCAGAGTCAGGATCTGTACCCTGGCAGTCTGAATCCAAGGCAAATCCAAAACTCTGAACTATGCTATCTACTAATGCTTGCCAGGGCTGTGAAACCATTATGAGATGCCTTACTTGGGAACTGCACCGAAGGGCGAGGGTCTGCATTCTCCTTCTGTCGTAAAATCACAACGTCGCCATCTTTTAAGCCATAAGAAGCCAGTGATCTGTGGTTGTCTGTGAGAGGTCTTTCAGCATAGACAATCTGCAACCAGAAAAGATTTAATAGTATAAAGCGCTGGGAAGTAACATGGCACAAGACAGAAAGACTACAGTTTTCCTCTTCATTAGAGAATGTCACTCCCTGCTCAATACCCTCCAGTGATTTCCCATCATACCTAGAATAAAAGCCAAAATCCTTCTCGTCAACTATTAGGCCCAAACAATTCGGCTCCCTGGCTCCCCCGGGACCTCATCTCATACCATGATCGCTAGTCCTCAAATAATACCAGCAACTTCCCCCTCAAGGCTGTTTCACTTGTTGTTCTCTCTACCTGAGGAATGTTCTTTCCCGGGTCATTTCTTTAAGGTCTCTGATCAAACACTACCTCTTCAGAGTCCTTCCCTAATATTTAAAATGCACCCTCACCTCCCATATTATATATTTTTTCTTTATGGTCTCTCTGTCCCACTAAAATGTAAGCTACTCTGAGGACAAGGACTTTACTTTTTTCACCATATCCCAAATGCCTAGAACAGGGGCCTGGTAGATAAATAATGCCCAAGTATTTGCTGAATTAAAGGACAAATAAATCTATGGGAAATAGACAATTTTAGATTTAATATTGAGCAGGGAGGGAAATGGGAATGATTTATTCTGGGGATGATAACTGCAATACTATTAAATAATATGTTCACTCCCCACCCACAAGTTTTAATGAGATACAACTGACATACAACACTGTATTAGTTTTAGTTGTACAACATAATGATTTGATATATGTATATACTGTAAAATGATTACCATGATATGTTTTGTTAACATCCATCACCCTATATAGTTATAAATTTTTCTTCTTGTGATGAGAACTTTTTTTTTTTTCCCCCGGTACGCGGGCCTCTCACTGTTGTGGCCTCTCCCGTTGCGGAGCACAGGCTCCTGACGCGCAGGCTCAGCGGCCATGGCTCACGGGCCCAGCCGCTCAGCAGCATGTGGGGTCTTCCCAGACGGGGGCACAAACCCGTGTCCCCTGCATCGGCAGGCGGACTCTCAACCACTGTGCCACCAGGGAAGCCCCCGTGATGAGAACTTTTAAGATCTACTCTTAGCAACTTTCAAATATGATACAGTGTTAACTCCAGTCATCCTGCAGTACATGACTGTACTGTGTCCAGTTTTAAATGATCTCGCACACTGGCAAGTCTGAAAGGTTCCCAAATACCAAGCTTCCTGAGTTCTTCCTTCTCTTCGACCTCCCCAAACGTTTATCACTCTTACGTTTATGAGAGGAAGATAACAGTGGAAGAAATTTTAAAAAGAACAATTAAACACAGATGGAAAAAAGGATCAGGGATGTATTACTAAGGAAAATATTTTTATGATGTGCAATCAAACACTGAAGAAAGCCTGAGAGCATAAAAATAGATGAAACAACGGGCTGTGGAAAGAAAAGGGACAAAGGGCATACTATGATTTCACCATGAAGGAACACAAAACCCAACCTGCATTATGACCTACTCTGTAGAGGAGCATTCAGAATAAACTCCGGCTTTGAAAGGTTTTCTTCCTAACAATTCACTTTCCACGAGGCCACTGGCAAACTGAGGAACTTGAGTTTTCTGTCCTGGCTCTGACAGGGCCCCCGTCACTCAGCTGGTCCAGGCTTCACAGTTCCCATTTGTCAAGCAAGCAGTTGGGGCTAGATAATCATTACACCTATCCCTTCCAGGTCTTTCTGCTACACTACCATTTTACATTGTTTCCTCAAGTGTCCTCATAGCTCTCATAGTAAAATTGCCTGACACAGAACCTGAAAAATACAGGATTTAAACTGGAAAAAAAAAAAGATCTGTCATATCTGATCTCAGAATTTGCAATGACATGAGAAATAGAACAGGAAACTCAATTTAGTTCCTTCCAAAATCAAATACTTCTGGGGTTGAACAAAAAAATGATCTTCACAATTTGTAGGTTGAATTATATTTTTTAAGTTCTATACAGGACTAGAAAAAGTATTGTTAGTTCTTACCCTCACCTGCAAAGTTAAAATATGTTACAATAGATTGCAACTGTCATTCTATCGACCCATTCACTCTCCCTTATTTAAGCATATGTCTCATAGTAAAAGTATACCAGAATCAACATAGATGGTTTGCAATACAACCTGAGTCATATTATAACTTCTGGGATTGCTTTAAAAAACACCACAAATCTGAAGTGACAAGTGTCATGGGTTGAGGTGTGCAGCAAGAAAGAGGCATGCAAGAGAAATGCCATACAGGCAGCTCCTACAAGGGGCCTTCAACTTTGTGAAGCAACCATAATGAAAGTACCAGTGGCCTAAGGCCTACTCCTTAATTTTCCAGGGTCAGAAATTCAACTATCAGTATATTTAGAGACACATGATCAGTCAATGTATTCTAACTGTACTTATAAGAGAACATTTACTTGTCTACAACGAGAAACCAAACTCAGGAGAATAAGAACGCTCCTATCCACAAGATCACTGAATTTTCTTCAGGCCGGAAATGCTACATGGAAAGCCATAATAAAATAGCAGACGGCTACCACTGAGTGAGCTCCTACTGGGAGCCAGCATCTTACTAGGTTCTCGCAGTCTTCCACCTAATCTTCATATCCTCTCATTTAAGTCTCATAATCAATTTATGAAGTAGATATTAATTGTCCCCTTTTATATACAGGGAAACAAATTACTGTTAGGTGACCTGAGGCTCCACAGCTATTGAGAAGAGAACTGGGATTGGAGCCACATCTGCCTGACTTTACAGCCCATACTCTTTCCTAGTACCACATACAACTTTCCCAAATATAAGTCCAAAGTGGCATGGTGAATTAGCTGGGTGACCTTTACAAGAGCTATTAAGCCACCTATCACTCCTAAGGGCCTCTACTCACCAGGGGCATCACTGTCCACTGCTCAATGTATCCCCTGCCCTGAACATGAAGAAAGAAGCACTACCAACCCCTCACTCTTTGGATTCCCATTTTACAGATGCCATACATCATTCCATCACTGTTCAGCTAAACAGTTTTCATCAGCAGACAACATAATTTTTTAAAAAGAAGGTGGCCTGATCTAACAACAAAAATGTAAGATCCAGGTAGTCAGTACCACCCTACATGTAACATGAAGTATGTAAGACTGCTATCTGCCCCAATCTCCTAAAAATACTAGACTGCAGAATGTGGGTAAGGATCAAATCCTTCATACTGACAAAGCAGCAGATGTATACCATTCTAGTCCAAGGACACAGATGAGATAAACAGTAGCTTAGATGAAATTATAACTGCCACAAAGAACTGTTGTTGTTGTTGTTGTTGTTAAAACAGGCTTAAGAATCTAAGACAATTATTCTGCAGCTTAAGTTCCAGAATAAATCTGAATGATTTTCCAACTTAATATGAGTATCTAGTAGACCAATGGTTTCAAATTTCTACCAGTCAAAACAAAATGAGTTTTGTTTATGGCACTGGTGATACTTTCTACCATTCATAATACCCAGCTCAAAGGTTATAAGGCTCAAAATTCAAGTTTTGCCAGTTATAAGAACATACAACAGGAAAATTTATACAGCTACAAGTCTTTTTTTTTTTTTTTTTTTGCGGTACGTGGGCCTCTCACTGTTATGGCCTCTTCCGCTGCGGAGCACAGGCTCAGCAGCCATGGCTCACGGGCCCAGCCGCTCCGCGGCATGTGGGATCCTCCCGGACCGGGGCACGAACCCGCGTCCCCTGCAACGGCAGGCGGACTCTCAACCACTGCGCCACCAGGGGAGCCCTGCTACAAGTCTTAATCTCCAAAACTGGCACAACTGCTAGTACTTCTCCAGAGGAGGCGCCCTAGAGACTGAATTCTCATCTTAACCAATATTTAACAATACACTAATTAATACAACTCCAAAGCCTTCAGGCATGATGTCAAATGTTTCCCGGTCTCTGAATGAGAGATTTCAATCAATCAACAGATATCACAACAGTACATTTCTAGCATTAAGGATCATAAACTGGCCACGAAACCCTTGGAATCACATTTGAATGACTTCATAATAGTATCTACCATTAGTTGAAAGCCCACTATATGCCAAGAGATCTACACATACCATCCCATGTAATAGTCAGCTTGACTTTTACACCCCTTCTGGAAGATAACGACAATAGTTACTAAAAGCCTCCCAAAAGACCTGGCAATTCCATATCTAAGACTTTATCCTGAGGAAATAATCAGGAATGGAGACAAAGACTTAAGTATAGGGCTTCCCTGGTGGCGCAGTGGTTGAGAATCTGCCTGCCAATGCATGAGACACAGGTTTGAGCCCTGGTCTGGGAAGATCCCACATGCCGCGGAGCAACTAGGCCCGTGAGCCACAACTACTGAGCCTGCGCATCTGGAGCTTGTGCTCCGCAACAAGAGAGGCCGCGACAGTGAGAGGCCTGCGCACCGCGATGAAGAGTGGCCCCCGATTGCCGCAACTAGAGAAAGCCCTCGCACAGAAACGAAGACCCAAAACAGCCAAAAATAAATATAAATAAAAATTAAAAACAGAAACCTGAGGGACATTCTAGATTCCTCGCTTAAAAAAAAAAAAAAAAAAGAATCACCTAGTTGGCCTTTGGCTGGCCCTTCCTGCACACTTTTTAAAAAGTTCCAGTTTTACAAATTAAAATATTGTTTCCTTTTACATTTCAAAAGTTTTCAAATGTCCTGCTGTAGACTATCAAATCTTATTATTTTGTGGATGTCTCCATTATCCTAATAAAATGGGATTAGTATTCCTCGGATTTCTCCTTTCCAAAAGTATTAAGATAAAAAAAAAAAAAAAAAAAAAGCCTTAAGTATATAGGTATCCATGGACATGTTACTCATAACTGCTTCCAAATGTCCCCAGTTCAATTCAAATGCCCAGCAAGGGACTTCCCTGGAGGCAAAGTGGTTAAGATTCCACCTGCCAATGCCGGGGACATAGGTTCAAGTCCTGGTCCGGGAAGATCCCACATGCCGCGGAGCAACTAAGCCCGTGCGCCACTACTGAGCCTGCGCTCTAAAGCCCCCGAGCCACAACTACTGAGCCCACGTGCCACAACTACTGAAGCCCACATGCCTAGAGCCCGTGCTCCACAACAAGAGAAGCCACCGCAATGAGAAGCCCACGCACCACAACGAAGAGTAGCCCCCGCTCACCCCAACTAGAGAAAGCCCACGTGCAGCAACGAAGACCCAACGCAGCCAAATTTTAAATAAATAAATAAATAAACAGTAGACCATCACAAACTCTCTTGTCTCCCTCCCTCCCTTCTTTTTTTTTAAAGGTATTTTTTTTTTTTTAATAAATAATACACAATGTATTTATTTATTTATTTATGGCTGTGTTGGGTCTTCATTTCTGTGCATGGGCTTTCTCTAGTTGTGGCAAGTGGGGGTCACTCTTCATCGCGGTGCGCAGGCCTCTCACTATCGCGGCCTCTGTTGTTGCGGAGCACAGGCTCCAGACGCGCAGGCTCAGTAATTGTGGCTCACGGGCCCAGTTGCTCCATGGCATGTGGGATTTTCCCAGACCAGGGCTCGAACCTGTGTTGTCTGCATTGGCAGGCAGATTCTCAACCACTGCGCCACCAGGGAAGCCCTAAAGGTATTTTTAAAAATTAATTAATTAATTTATTTTTGGCTGTGTTGGGTCTTTGTTGCTGCGTGCGGGCTTTCTCTAGTTGCAGTGAGCAGGGGCTATTCTTCGTTGTGGTGCACAGGCTTCTCATTGCAGTGGCTTCTCTTGTTGCAGAGCATGGGCTCTAGGCGCCTGGGCTTCAGGAGTTGTGGCTCACGGGCTCTATAGAGTGCAGGCTTAGTAGTTGTGGTGCACGGGCTTAGTTGCTCCGTGGCATGTGTGATCTTTCTGGACCAGGGCTTGAACCCGTGTCCCCTGCATTGGCAGGCGGATTCTTAACCACTGCGCCACCAGGGAAGCCCTCCTTTCCTTCTTTAAAAAAAAAAAAAAAAAAAAAAGCAGCACAGCAAAAGGAAAACTGTTAAATAAATTGCAGTACATCTGTATGATGGTATATTATGTGGCCATTAAAATGATAAACTGCAAGAATTTGAAATGTTATGGGAAAATGCTGACAATGCAGTGTTGACTGAAGAAAGATAGGAAATTGTTTATTACAGTTCAGGCCATATGTTTTAACGATATATTTTAACTATATAAGAAGAAAAAATACATTAAAAAGTAAACTGCAGTTATCTCTGAGTTATAAGGTAATAAGTAATTGTGTTCTTTTCTCCTTTTCTATATGTTACAAGTTTTCTATAATGAATATGTGGTATTTATCAGAAAAGAAATACATGAAAATTACCCGTGAAAATAAACATGCCAAAACCAGCTACAATAGAAATTCTGTTTCTACTGGTTTAAAATAGTGTTTTGGGCTTCTCTGTTGGCGCAGTGGTTAAGAATCTGCCTGCCAATGCAGGGGACATAGGTTCGAGCCCTGGTCTGGGAAGATCTCACATGTTGCAGAGGAAATAAGCCTGTGAGCCACAACTACTGAGCTCATGTGCCACAACTACTGAAGCCCACGCGCCTAGAGCCTGTGCTCCACAACAAGAGAAGCCACTGCAATGAGAAGCTCACACACCGCAACGAAGACCCAATACAATCAAAAATAAATAAATACATTTATTTAAAATTAGTAACAATAAAGAAAATAGTGTTTTACAGGGACTTCCCTGGTGGCGCAGTGGTTAAGAATCTGCCTGCCAACACAGAGGACAAGGGTTTGAGCCCTGGTCCGGGAACATCCCACATGCCGCGGAGCAACTAAGCCTGTGTGCCACAACTACTGAGCCCCCGTGCCACAACTACTGAAGTCCAAGCGCCTAGAGCCCATGCTCCTCATCAAGAGAAGCCACTGCAATGAGAAGCCCGCGCACCGCAACAAAGAGTAGCCCCTGCTCACCACCAACTAGAGAAGGCCTGTGTGCAGCAACGAAGACCCAACGCAACCAAAAATAAAATAAATATACAAATAAATAAACAAAATTGTGTTTTACAAACCACAGATCATGCTGTGTGCAGAGCTGCATTTCCAGGATCATACAGTTACTGCTATTATTTGGTATTTAAATATGCCTTCATTTGAGAGTTCTTATATTCTGCACACATTTTTTTTTTAACCACATGCCACCTACAGGGGTAAATTATAACAATCTTTCAAAAATGCAAAGATATTAATTTCAAGTGAAGCTAAGTTCTTAATAATTGTTTGAAGTTCCTCTAGCCAAGTCTGCATCAAAGCATCAAACAGGGCCATGCCCGGCTTCCAAACCCACACTTGTGTTAAGAGATGCAACATGCCCAGCTTCAATCACATGTGCAAGTGGAGATTGTTCCTATTCTAAATTTGTTATCACCGCATTATAACTACTGTAATCAGACTAGAGCTGTTAAAAATTAACACCCTTTCCAAGCATATCCTTATGCACAGTCAATGCTGATGTTGAAAGACTGAATTATAAACCAGTGATCCTTAATGTGGGGCAGACATGCGACACAGTTCTTTAAGGATGTAGTAAGAAAAAATAATTAGAATTTGCATTTCCATTTTAGTTCATCCTTCCTTAAATTCTATCCTGTGCCTGTTTAATCTATAATGACCTAAGGTATTACTTCATGTATATAATTGATGCTTACAGCTATTATATACATGTAATATACATGCATATTTATTATGCATATGCCATTAGTTCATATATATTATTTATTATATACATCACACAGATGCATGTTCCAAAACATTTTACTCAGAGGGATACGTGACCGAAAAAGTTTGCAGACCAGTGGTCTGGACACACAGTAACAGGAAAGAATAGCGAAAAAAAAAAAAAAAAAAATTCCCGTTAGAAATGGAGGTGAAGGAACGAGAACAGAGAAGGGAAGCAAGAGGAGTAAAGGTAAAGAGACCAGGACAACTTGGAGAGGAAGAAGAGGAAGATGAGTAATATGGGAGAACCCTGGGAGGTAAAGGAGGGGTGGGGGGAGGCCCCAAGTAAGTGAAAATGATGTATTTGTGCATAAAAACTACAATGATATTTACTATTATGACTTGGTGAAAGGAAATGACTCAAGTGTCTAGGGTGGATCCTGTTCCTGCTTGATGGGCAAGCAACTGAAAGACAACGGACCACCAGACATCCTAAAATAGACACTGTGTTAGGTTACAATGGAGCCAACAGAACAAACTTGAAAAACAGGAGCTGTTTACCGGCTATGTAATACAGGCTTAACACTAGCTGGAGCCCAGGTTTCCATATGCTAATTTGGCTTGGGAAGGAAGTAAATGCCAAAACACTGACCTAATGAATAAGAAAGAATTTGGAGTTAGCCTAACCATTCAATTAGTAAGGTACTGCTAACCTTCTGCACCGGCAGGACAGTGCCTGCCTTACCATACAATTAATCGTCTTTCGATCTGACACCCTCTTTAGGCTACAGCCATCTCAAAAAGTGCAGGAATACAGAAATCACAATCTTTGACTTCTCCCAAGCCCAACAAAGTCAATTTACATTTTAATTTTTTATTTCCCCTACCAGCTGGTGATTGTAACCAGGGTAAAAGAACAGCCAGAGGTCAGAGAAACAATTGAAAAAGCCACCTTCAAAAATCTGAGTTGATTTTTTCCCTCCCTACTTAAACTGTTCTATTCTAGCTCTCTACCTGAGGGATTCATTGACAGGAGCTGGTTCCTGAGTTTTTGTGGATTCTTTTTTTTTTTTTACAGAAGTTCCAAGAAATCCCTTTTGCCAGAATGCCTATTTGAGTGACACCTTGTGCCCCCAAATAAATTCTTTCTTGATATTCAGCTTATGCCAAGGTTCTAAAGTTCAAAGTGTAAAGGAATCATACTCACTTCTGAACAAAATATTAACACACTTGTTTACCATAGCACAGGGCTGAACAGGCTGTAGTGAGGCAATAGTTTCTGGAACTATTTCATAACTGCAGTAGCAAATCAAGATTTACCTTCTGGGGCCTTGGACGACTTCTATAATTTTCTGAATGTTTAGACTATGCCCTCCGAGACCCACTTATCAAGTCAGGATTTAGATGTTTCAGTGTGAAGGCCACAGAGTTATTGCCACCAAATCTGTCTGGTGGCAGCGTCAGAGCATTTTAAGAATAAATTACTCTGCTTACTTAAAATGTAAGAGCAGCTTAATTTCTTTCCAGCAGGGTAAGAGAAATGAAACAACCAAATCACACTGAGGCCATTTTTAAGCAAATATCCTCACCTAGCACTGAGCTGTGAACTCACCCAAACTCTGAATTGTGACCTGAAAGAAAGAGGGATCTTGGCCTACTACCAGGGAAGAAACCAGAGAAATAGTTTCGGCTGAATAATTACTTTAAAAAAATAATAATTTAACCAGAAACGCATGTGGTAGGGAAAAGACCATTTCCAGAGGCTTCAAAACAAGGTGGTGCAAGTCTCAAAACTTTTCCCTTCACTTCGAGCGCAAATCTCTACACTTAAAGGTAAATTACGTTTACTTAGGCAGGAGTCCTCTCCAAAAACGCAGATGAACGTCCATCTACCACAGTGATCCAAACTGGTATTTCTGGTTGGGGAAGCAGAATGCATGAACTCTTGCAAACCTACGGCTTCTTCTTAGGTCTACGCCGACACCCCAAACACAAGAAATTAGAGAAGGGGTCAAAGAGCCACAAGGTGGGGCGGCCCGCCCGACAATCCACGCGCTCCTCAGGCTGCAGCGGGTGCGTCTGCGGTCAGGTTCTCCGCTCTCTCCCCCAGCACCCCACCCCACGCTTGGGGCGTATCGGGGCAGCCACCGATTCCAGCTCCCTCCCGGATGCGGGGGTGGGCTGGGAATGGCCATCCTGCTTCCCCTCCACCCCCCAATTCCTCACCAGCAGCAAAAGGAGTGCGTGAGGCCCCGAGGCGGGAGGGCTAGCTCCGGAGGGAGGCCCCACTCGCCGCTCAGCGTACCTGGCTCTCGGCTGCGGGGATGCCGGACTCGAGCTCACACAGCGCGCGGAAGTTGTGCAGCTCGAAGTCGGCGTCGACCTGGAGGGAAAAGGTCACCTCGGAGAGGTCCCTCCGCACACAGTACACGGTGAGCAGCATGGCCCGGGCCCGACCCAGCTCGGCTCGGCCCGGCCTCGGCGCGGGGCGGCGGCGGCGGCGGGGCCTGGCTGGTGCTGCAGGCGGACGGCGCGGGCTGCTCGCTCGCCCGCCCGTTCGCTCCTTCCCTCCCTCACACACGCTCAGTGACTCACTCCCTCCCACCCTCACCAGCAAGTACAGCCGCCACCACCCGCCTGCAACTTCGTCTGCCTGCCTGCCTGCCGGCCTGCCTGCCTCCCACAGCTGCCGCCAAGCGCGCCAGCCGCCCGGCGCCCCGCCCCGCCGCAAAGGCCGTAAAGCCCGCCTGACCCGCTCCGCCTTCGCGGCACAGCGGAGGGGCGGAGCTGGGAAGGGGAGGCGGGAAGCAGGAGAGCATTGCCGGGCTCTTGGGACGGGAGAGGGAGGAAGGGCGAGGAAAGGGGGGCGAACGAAGAGAAAAAAATAAGTATTAATTGCTTGATTTAGTAAGTGACGTCGGTGGAGAACTCCAAAATTTCATTTATTCATCCGACAGGCATTTATTGAGCTCGTGTTGGCAAATAGCCACGTGGGTACAAAAATGCGTAAAAATACAGGTTTTTGCCCTTAACGAACTCTCAAGCTGATACAGGAGACTGAGAACCTAGAAGATTGTTCTCAGACATATTTTCCAAAGTAGAAATTGAGGCTCAGACAGCTTACTTTTCTTCTTGTTCTGATGATTTAGGGTTAAAACCAAAATCACAAACACCTGCTCACTGGCCCCTGTTTTGCTCTTCAGCCCTGCCTCCTGAGCCCTGTCTGCACTCTGCTCTCCCTGACACATTGTGACTTTCAGTTCCTCCCAAGCTCCATTTCCCTGCCTCATAAATAGTTTTCCCTCTACTTGGACTGCTTCTTTCCTAGTCCTGGCAAACCCCAGCACCTATTGCAGTGCTTTTTATTGGGCACAGCTTAGAATCCACTCCATAAAATATGTGTTACTTTAATGGCCTGTTTAAGGCCACATAGCTGATGAGAAATAGAAGCCCAAAACATGAGGATGAGTCAGAAAACCAAAAGGGAAAGA